TTTTTTTTTTTTTTTTTTTTTTTTTTTTTTTTTTTGCTGTACGCAGGCCTCTCACTGTTGTGGAGCACAGGCTCCGGATGCGCAGGCTCAGAGGCCATGGCTCACGGGCCCAGCCACTCTGTGGTACGTGGGATCTTCCCGGACCGGGGCATGAACCCACGTCCCCTGCATCAGCAGGCGGACCCCCAACCACCGCGCCACCAGGGAAGCCCTGTGTATAAATTTTTACCTTGAATTCACCCTCAATGAAGGCTTGTTTTCTGAGACTCCTTGGTGTCTTGGTATTTGGGACCATCCTTAAAATAATCTTTCTCATTTGCCTTTGCTGGAGCCCTTAGAGGTCTTACTGCTTTTAGGACAGTTTTTAGAGGTTATTTCTCAGCTTGAGGTTTTTTATACATGAAGTTGTTACAAATGTGGAACCCATATTCACCCATGTGATGAATGAGTTTCTTATTTCTTGTTTTGTTTCTATTCAAAGCTTTGGAAGTAAGGCAAGAGTTCCTTACTGTTTCCCTTGATGGATGGGTAGAACTTGTCTACTCTAGTTTCATAAACGGGCCCTGGCTTTGTGCTGGGAATTAGGCCTTTTCTTTGATCCCTGTGGTGAGTAGTAACTAACCCCAACCTCAAGTACCTATATATCAAGCCTGCTTTGTTTTTGTTTTTTTCTCGTTTTAGATTCCAGTGACATCAGTACCTAGCTTGAATTTCTTCTTTATGTTTGGAACCTGGAGGGTTCCCTTCCTTTTGAGCTTAAATATGCCTTTTTTGTTGTTGGGTGGTTTTATTTGTTTGTTTGTTAGAGTTTTTTGGTCCTTTCATCTCGTACTTCTACGTATTTTGGCTGTATTTCATATGTCAGTTCAGTCTGCCATATTTAGAGTATTTTCAAATTCATTTCCATTTTCTTTGAATATTGCCAACAAAATCATACACTGAGGCCTGGTATCGTATATGAAATGAAACAAAATTTTGATTTTTAGGAATGGTGATAATTGCCATACTTTTCCCCCCTTCCATTATCCCATTAGCCTTCTGTACATTCTATCGAGCATTCATTTTGTGTCAATCATTGTTCTCTGGATGCTGGGGAAATTTTTCTTGCTATTCTGGAGCTTATATTCTTGTGAGGGTGTTTAGTTAATAGACAATAAATAAGTAAAATAAACAGTATGTGAAATGGTAATAAGTGCTATGGAGAAAAAGCAAGGGAGTTGGGTTAAAGACCATGGGGAGTTCACAAGTTTAAATAGGATAGCTAGGAAAGGAAATTTATAACATTCTTTGTAGTTTCAGTGATGGAAAAAGAAAAAGAATCTTTTAGGATTTAGATAAGGATGGAAATATAAATACACATTTTAATCACTGAAGAATAGCTCAGAATTAATGTCCTATTTCTTGTTCTTTGAATCCTCTTAATGTTTCATGTTCTCTTTCAGAGGGAGGGTGAAGAATATAACTGTTAACTGGCCCATTCTAGTTTATTATTTCCTTTCTATCCTTAAATATTTAAAGAAGTGTAAAAAGGTCTAACCTTCCAGGAGTCTGAAAATATTATATCTGAATTCACCAACTAACTAGTCCTTCTTTTCCTACCTAGAATTGTTTACTTTCCAAATCTTGACTTTGAAAGAAGGGAAAAATCATTTATAAATACCACTTAAATAATATTGCACATAACTTTCTTTCAACTTCCGTCCTTTTCTTAGTCCCTTGAACACAAGTATAGGCAATGTTGGAGCACGTTAAAACTCCAAACTTAAGGATATGTTAGATTAGGACCCTGTTTTATAGTGAAAAGATAAGTGGGATCAATAAGAAAGTTACCTAGTTTTTCATTGTTAAACCTCTTCACTTTTAATCATTCATTCAATATGATCTTTCTTCTTTTGCTTAAATATGTATCTCTGAATATCAGATTTTTATTTGTATCTAATCCAAAAGAACGTTTAATTTTGTAATGTGTGAAGGCAAACTATTGTAAGAGCTTATTCTCAAACTTACTATAAACAATATGTAATAATAAAGAAAGGAGCTTATGTTAGTGTTTTCAGCTACCTCATTTTATATGTAATTAAATTGTCCTTTTTTTTTCTTCCTAGGTTTACCCAGGGTTGATGATAACAGCTGGCCTTATCCATTGGATTTTAAATACACTGAACATAACAGTTCACATAAGAGATGTATGTGTGTTCCTTGCACCAACTTTTAGCGGCCTTACATCTATATCTACTTTCCTGCTTACCAGAGAACTTTGGAACCAAGGAGCAGGACTTTTAGCTGCTTGTTTTATTGCTATTGTACCAGGTTACATTTCTCGGTCAGTAGCTGGATCCTTTGATAATGAAGGCATTGCTATTTTTGCACTTCAGTTTACATATTACTTGTGGGTAAGTAACACTTAATGTTTTGTTATCATTAATACCCATGAACTTCCTGCTGAATGTTTTGTTATCATTAATACCCATGAACTTCCAGCTGAAATGCTGTTGTGCAGCATTTGTCTTTTATCAATTATAGTTGTATACAGAGAACTCTGTTACTGTTTTTAACAAGTAAGTCATAGCTCCAATAAAGAGGCTATCAAAAAATAAGCTCTTGATTTTGTTTCTTTTGTAGGGGATAGAGGAGTCAAATACTTAAGAAAATGAAATGTGGTTCAGTGGCTTAGGATATTGAATTATGTTTGCGAAACTTGTATTATTTTACTGTTGCCAAGTTATTTCTTCCTCCCAATCTGTATACCTTCTATTTCCTTTTCTTGTGTTACTGTATTAGCTACTAATTCCAGTATGATGTTGAAAAGGAGTAGTGAGAGGAAACATCCTTGCCTTGTAGGTAATATTTAACAAGTTGAAGAAGTTCCACTCTATTTCTGTCAATAGTTTGCTGAGAGATTTTATCATGAATGGATGTTGGATTTTGTCGAACGCTTTTTCTCTATCTATTGATAAACAGTTAACCCTTGAACAACACGAGTTTGAACTCTGCAGGTCCGCTTATACACAGGTTTGTTTTTCAGTAAATACATACTACAGTACTACATGATCCAAGGTTGGTTGAATCCATAGATGTGGAACCACAGATTATGTAGGGCCTACTGTCAAGTTATGTGTGGATTTTTGATACCAAGTGGGGGTGAGGGGGTCACTGCCCCAACCCCTGCCTTGTTCAAGGGTCAACTGTAGTTACATGATATATTTCCTTTGACTTTTTGATGTCATGAATTACATTAATTGATTTTCAGACGTTGAGCCACTATGTCATACCTGGAATAAATCTCACTTGGTCATGATATTGATATATAATTCTTATAATACGTTGTTAGACTTGATTTCTTAATGTCTTGTTGAGGATTTTTGCATCCATGTTAATGAGAGAGATCTTGGTCTATAGTTTTCTTATAATGTCTTTGATTTTGGCGTTAGGACAATGCTGGCCTTGTAGAATGAGTTAGGAAGTATTCCCTCTACTTCTGTTTGCTGAAAGAGGTTGTAGAGTATTGCTCTTTTTTTTTTTTAATGTTTGGTAGAATTCACGAGTGAACCCACCTTGGCCTGGTGCTTTCTGTTTTGGAAGGTTATTAATTATTGATTGATTCCATTTCTTTAATAGAGCCCTATTCAGATTGTCTGTTTCTTCTTGTTTGAGTTTTGGGAGATTTCTTTAACAGAATTGGTCCATTTCATTTAGGTTATCAAGTTTGTGCACATAGAGTTGTTCATTGTATTCCTTTATTATCCTTTTAATATGTGTCCGTGGGATCTGTAGTGATGGTCCTTCTTTTATTTCCAATATTAGTATTTGTGTCTTCCTTTTTTCTTAGCCTGGCTTAGAGGCGTATTGATTTTTGTTCATCTTCCAAAGAACCAGTTTGTGGTTTCATTGATTTTTCTCTATAAATTTCCTGTTTTCAACTTCATTGATTTCTGCCCTGATTCTTATTTCTTTTCTTCTGCTTCCTTTGGATTTAAATTGCCCTTCTTTTTCTAGTTTCCTAAGGTGAAAACTTAGATAATTGTCTTAGATCTATCTTTTCTGTATATACATTCAGTACTGTAAATTTCCCTATGAGCACTGCTTTCTCTACATCCCACAAATTTTGGTAAGTTGTATTTTCATTTTAATTTAGTTAACAATACTTTAAAATTTTTCTCGAGATTTTTTTATTTGACCCATATATTTGTTTAAAGGTATGTTGTTTAATCCCCATTTATTTTGAGATTTTCCAGTTAATTTTCTGTTACTGATTTTTAGTTTAATTCCATTGTGGGCTGAGAGCAACACCTTACATGATTTTTATTCTTTCAAATTTGTTAAGATGTGTTTCATGGCCCAGATGTGGTTTACCTTGGTGAATGTTCTATGTAGGCTTGAGAAGAATATGTATTCTGCTGTCCTTGGATGAAATCGAGTTTAGATGTCCATTATATCCAATATCCAGTTGATTGGTGGTGGTGTTGAGTTTCATGATTTTCTTAAATCATGAAAATCTTACTGATTTTCTACCTTCTGGATTCATCTATCTGAGGGGGGGTTTAAGTATCCATTTATGGTAGTGGATTCATCCATTTACCCTCGTGGCTCTATCAGTTTTTCCTCATGTAGTTTGATACTTTGTTGTTAGGCACATGCACTTTAAGGATTATGTCGTCTTTGAGAATTAATCCTTTTGTCATTGTGTAATGCCCTTGTTTATCTCTGATCACTTCTTTGCTTTGAGGTCAGCTCTGTCTGAGATTAATATTGCTACTCTTGCATTCTTTTGATTAGTGTTAGCATGGTATATTTTTTGCCATCTCTTTATTTTAAAACTATATGAATCTTTATATTTAAAGTGGGTTTCTTGTAGACAACATATAGTTGGGTCTTGGATTTTGATCCACCCTGACAATTTGTTTTTTTAAGTTGTGCATTTAGACCATTGACGTTCAAGTGGCTGTTATTAGTTGGATTAGTATTTACCATATATGTTACTGTCTTCTAGTTGGAACTCTTCAGTTCTTCGTTTTATTTTTGTTCTATACTCTTTTTTTCCCTACCTTTTGTTGTTTTGTTTTTGTTTTTGTTTCTGTTTTTGCAGTACGTGGGCCTCTCCTTGCTGTGGCCTCTCCCGCTGCGGAGCACAGGCTCCGGACGCGCAGGCCCAGCAACCATGGCTCACAGGCCCAGCCGCTCTGCGGCACATGGGATCCCTCCGGACCGGGGCACGAACCCGCGTCCCCTGCCCAGGCAGGCGGACTCTCAACCACTGCGCCACCAGGGAAGCCCCCCTTTTGTCGTTTTAACTGAGCATTTTATATGTTCAATTTTCTCTCTTTTTCTGGCATATTAGTTATACTTTGTTTTATAACTTCTTAGCGGTTGCCATAGAGTTTGCAACATACATTTACAGCTAATCCAAGTTCACTTTCAAAGAATACTATACAGGCATATCTCATTTTATTGTACTTCACAGATACTGCATTTTTAGAAATTGAAGGTTTGTGGCAACCCTGCATCAAACAAGTCTGTCAGTGCCATTTATCCAACAGTATTTTCTCACTTTGTGTCTCTGTCACATTTTGGTATTTCTCACAATATTTCAAACTTTTTCATTATTATATTTGTTATGGTGATCTGTGATCAGAGATCTTTGATGTTACTATTGCAAAAAGATACAACTCACTAAAGGCCCAGATGATGGTTAGCATTTTTTAGCAATGAAGTACTCTTTAATTAAAGTATATGTGTTGGTTTTTTAAAGCATGATGTACTCTTTTTGTTTAATTAATTAAATTAATTAATTAATTAATTTTTGGCTGCGTTGGGTCTTTGTTGCTGTGCGCAGGCTTCCTCTAGTTGCATCGTGTTGGGGCTACTCTTCATTGTGGTGCGCGGGCTTCTCATTGCGGTGGCTTCTCTTGTTGCGGAGCGTGGGCTCCAGTAGTTGTGGCTCACGGGCCCAGCCGCTCCACAGCATGTGGGATCTTCCCGGACCGGAGCACGAACCCACGTCCCCTGCCCAGGCAGGCGGACTCTCAACCACTGCGCCACCAGGGAAGCCCCATAATGTACTCTTAATAGACTACAATTTAGTGTAAACATAGCTTTTATATGCCCTGGGAAACAAATTCGTGTGACTTGCTTTACTGCAATATTCACTTTATTGTGGTGGTCTGAAACCAAACCCACAATATCTCTGAGGTCTGCCTGTATCACTTTATAGGTAGTGAGTACCTTATAATAACAAAATAATCCTAATTCCTCCCTCTTGTCCCTTGTATCATAACTGTCACTCATTTCACTTTTATATGAGCATACATAATAGGATACATTGTTGGTATTATTATTTTCAGCAGACTTATCTGTTTGATAAATTAAGAATAAGAAAAGTAAAAGTTTTTAATTTACCTTTACTTCATCTTTGATGCTCTTCCTTTCTTCTTGTAGATCTAAGATCCTGATCTATGTTATTTTCCTTCTTGTTAAAGAACTTTTAGCATTTATTGTAAGGCAAATCTGTCAACAAATTCCCTCAATTTTTGTTTGTCTGAGAGTCTTTATTTCTCCTTTAACTTGGAAGGATAATTTCACAGGGCACAAAATTCTAAATTGGTGGTTTTTTTCTCTCAATACTTTAAATATTTCACTCTTTTTGTCTTGCTTGTATGATTTCTGAGTAGAAGTCATGTAATCCTTATCCTTGTTCTTCTATAGGCAAGGTGTCTTTTGCTCTGGCTTCTTTCAGGATTTTTTTCTTTATCTTTGATTTTCTGTAGTTTGAAAAAGGTATGCCTAGTTGTGGTTGGTTATTTTGGCATTTGTTGCTTAGTGTTTGAGCTTTCTGGATCTGTAGTTTGATGGCTGACTTTATTGGGAGAAATTAGCAGTCATTATCATTTCAAATATTCTGTTCCGTTTTCTCCTCTCCTTCTTGTATTTCTATTACATGTATATTACACCTTTGTTGTTGTTCCACAGTCCTTGGATATTCTGTTTTATTTTTTTTCTAGTCTTCATTCTTTTCAGTTTTGGAGGTTTCTATTGATATAGCCTCTAATTCAGAAATGCTTTCCTCAGCCATGGCCAGTCTATTCATAAACTCAGCATAGGCATCCTTCATTTCACCTGTAGCCTCTTTTTCTGGTTTTGTTTTTTGTTTTGTTTTGTTTTTGGTTCTTAGGATTTCCAGCTCTCTGCTTACATTGCCCATTTATTCTTGCATGCTATCTCCTTTATCCATTGGAACTCCTAGCATATTAATCATAGTTTTAAATTCCTGGTTTGATACTTTCAGAATCCTTGCCATATCTGGTTCTGATGCTTCCTCTGTTTCTTTAAATTGTGGTTTTTTTGCCTTTTGGTTTGCCCTGCAATATTGTCTTCATAGCCAGACATGAGACACTGG